AAAATTCTAGCATATCGTGTCAAATCAAGTATAAAGCATCTCATTTAAAAGGGAAACTCAAATTCATTCTTTTAGAAAATAATGAGTTAGAGCAATTATTCTCATAGCTATTTTTTTCCAAGTTATTCTTCTTACAATGAGATAGTGCAAAATATAAAATGTTTAAAAAAAGAAACTAATATATTTGAACACTATTATTTTAAGATACAAATTTCTTATACAGTAAGCGTGCATTATTAAAAATTTTCCTATTTAATGAAATAATTGATCACAAGTCAATATATTAAAAGTGATTAATATACTTTACATGATATATCATATAGGATCCCTTTTATTACTATAATCAATATGAAAAAAAACACACGAACCTAATTTTATTGGATGTCACTAATATTATGAAAGAGAAAGGTAGGGAAAATGGGGGAAAAAGGACTAGAAAGTAGGGTGAAATGGTTGAAAAAAGAGGATGATCGCCAATAGTGACAAAGAGTGATAGTGTTTAAAGCACTTTGCAAAAATTTTAAAAATGCCCTAAATCTATTAATAGAATTTTTAAAAATATACATTGGAAAGTATTTAAAAATATACCCAAAACACCATTCCAATTAGACTATGGGACGGCACGGCGGTTGACGACATTAGTGGTGGAAGAAAGCTGAGCAGCAGGGGGGATAGCATCCCCGGTAGGAGCATCAACGGAAGCAGAAGCACCGCAACCAGGTTGAGGTTGGAGGTGTCCCTGGGTTCCATATCCCTGCTGCTTGTAATCCTCCAAGTCCTTGTACTGTGTGTAGGGACTAGTATTCACTGGCAGCCCTTCCAACTTCCCTCCCTTCTCTTCCTTGTCTTTCCTCTCCATTTTGCCCTCCACCTCTATTATTATCACTTATATCTGCCCAAAAAAAAAAACACCTGTCTCTTTTCTTGAATTGTTCCGAGCTTCAGATTGATATAGCTGATCAGTCGGTAGATTGTTCTTTGATTGATTTTGTGAACTCCAGGAATTCGTATTATATGGTTTCTCCATTTCGGTCTGTTGTTGCCACGAGTCATTGACGTGTTAGCTGTTGAGGAAAGGCAGGCTAGCATCATGTTGAGCCGCCAATTCATTTGTGGCTTTGCTTCTTGGTCCCTGCATCTACACTAATCCCGAGCATTTGGTTTGGACATTTATTTAAAATATTTATTAGTACTGATGCTTAATTTTTAGAACTTAATTTCTTAAAGCCTTTTTATTTAATAAGAGACCAAAATCTATTTTGTTGAAATCACAACAAAAGTAATGGACACAATATCCACAAATTTCAGATTCTCTTTTGTGCTGTTATTTTTTAAACAATCATTACAATTTAACTTGAATTTTAATTACTTCACACCATAATGTCATTTTATAGTTACTTCAAACCATAAAGTCACTAATTTATATCCTTTTTAATTTTGAAACTTTATCTTTTTTTTAATTGACAACCACTTTTGTGTTGGTGGATTTCACAAAACTCAAGTTATTTTATTAATATTGAAAAAAAGTAAAACAGGGAGATAAAAAAAAATTTGTGGAAGTAAATTTAAAATTTATTTGAGAAGAGCTAACAAGTTTACACAAAATATTAGCAATATATTTGATCTTGCGAAACTTATGATTGAAAGTAAATTTAACTATTACCTATCATAGCTAAATTGAATTATAACAATATTTATTCGCTAACGATGTCTATAGAACTTATAAGGTAAGTGTAAAGAAACTTAAAAATCTATTGAATATGGATTGCATGGTGATTTGGGAACTTATCTGAGACCTTGTGTTCAAACCTTTATAGCATAAAAAATTTTAACAAATGACCAAGGGGCCTTAGACTTCTATCTAAGACCAAAGATCAGGAAGCTTTTGATGGAATATCAATCTAAGGCATGATGGCAACAATGAAACTGAGGAAGTGGATTCAGATGTGTGGTATCTTAGAAATTATGATTCACCATAAAGGTCCGGATCACCGTTTCAAGTTGTTCTCTAGTGCGAAAAATGCATCCAACATTCCCTCTACTATACTTGCATGTTTAAATCCCATTCCCATTTGTATGCTCTCAGCAATACCAGAAAGAAGAAAGTATCCATGCATACTACACAGATATACACCATTGATAGAAGCAAAGTTTCAGATTGTGGCCACAGAAAATGGTTAGGGTTCAAAAAGGGAAGAAGAGTGTTTTTCCTCAGGCAATTAGGGATGTTGTTCTTTAGCATCCCTATTGAGGAAAGTGCAAGATTAACAAGTATTTTACTAAAGGAAAACATGCAGGATATTTCATCAGAAGCCGAAGCTTCTGATTGCAAAATTATCGAATGTTTATCAAATGGCAAAAAGGTACCCTGGATCATCAGATGGGAGAAGCCAAGCGACGGATGCCTCAAGTGCAACATAGATGTGAGCTTCAGTTTGAAATATGCGGTATTTGACTCCTACTGGCGACTCTTCTGTGGGTGTATGCAATGCATTTTGCGGTGGGCTATTCAAAAATTCAAGGGGTGATCAGGTCGGCGTTGAATTTGCAAGGCCTCTCTATGACATGAAGGATGTGCTTCAACTTGAACTGCATGCTATTCTCTTTGGCATGGAGCAATTCAAGGACCAGCGAATTGAAAAACAGGCTATAAAAAGTTTGTGCTGGAGTGTGATAGCTTCAACATTGTCAGGATCGCAAATGGAAAGTTTTGGGATGAAAAAGAGAAACCAAACGTGGGGAATTGTACAGGAAAATTTTGTCTGTTAAACACAGTTTGGAAGATCAAGGCTTCTACATCAATATCAATCACGAAATAAATCATGTTGCTGATGCCTTAGTCTTGAAACATGTTCCTAAGACAATGTTTTGTAAGATTTATGCAGATAGAAGTCATTTTGAAAGGATTTTGAAGAAACTTGAAAGTGCATTGGGCAAGAACTTCAATGAGGATTATGCTGGTTTGAGGTATTTTGTTGTCCTTCCTTTGGATCTAGAAAAAAAGAAATGAGCAAAGAATGTCAAGTGCTGAATTGGCAGTAGCTTGAAGGGTTAAAAGTTAAGATAATGGTTCGTCTAGTAGTTGGTTTTCGACTGACCTATTACTCTCAATTGAATAAATAAAAAATCCAAAATCTTATTTGGATTGGATTGTAATTGATGTGAAATTAATAGGTTTCACAATCTTATTTTAAGTGTTATCACTAGTCAAAAACCAACTTTTGGTCTTGCCAAGATGCTAATTGAAAGCTCAATCAAGCCAACTGAATTGGTTGATTTGGGTTGTACTTATTAGATCTATATTCCAATTTCATGTATTCTTTGGATGGGTCAATTTTTTATCATTAATTTGGCACTGTTGTTGTTTCAAATATGTAAGAAATCTAAAAAACGTGTAGTTACACTTTATTTGGTACTCAAAGTAGGATTTTTAGCAATTATAAAGATTTAGTAAATTATAAATGCTAATTTTAATAAAAAAATATGTAGTGTCTTTCACATTTTTTTCTTTTTCCTTGCAAATTTTTAATTTGTTTGGATATATATTTTTTCTCCCAATTTATTTTACTTATATCACAATTATAATTCTAATCAATTTTTTATCTTGCAGATCATATTACAACAAGTAGTACAGTAATTATTCTAAATAATACCTCTAATAATCTACTGTCCAAACACACCTAATTGTTAACTAACCATAATTATTGGTGACTATTAAACAGTTGCTTTTCTACCCATTTTAATCTCATAAGACTAGGGGGAAGTGGCTGCACATCGCGCCGATATTTGGTACCTGTGATTAGTGAGGATTTTTCGTTGGTCAAAAAATAGTACATTTTGAAAAGAACTAGTCATTAAATATGACAAAACTAAAAATAGTACATTCTAATTGAGCACACACTTGTATACTTTATCAATGCTTTTACAATTTTACCATTCCCAAAATGCCTTTACAGATGTCAGTGAAAAATTATCCGAGAATAGACATAAATTGTTTCATATAAAGGAATATCCTTCAACGGCTAGTTATAGCAATGTATTAATTGCACAACGTATTAATATGTCTTTGTGTTATTGCACAACAAAAGACACACTTCAATTAAATGTATCTATAACACCATTTCAGTAATTATATCAACACCTAAGCTTCTATGAGTTGTACTCGATACAAAAATGGTTGCAAAATAATTTCATATTCCAGAAATACCCAAATGTCTCCACACATCAAAGCTTTAAATGTACCCAAATAAGGGTATTTCTGTAAATATATTTAAACACATGTTACCCTAAATTGTACCAAAAGTTTTAAAAAAACTATACAACATTCCACATTCTCAAAAAGCCCGTATCTATGGGGTTGAAATTCAAGCCCCTTTTGATTACAACTCATTTTTATATATTATAAGGATTCTTTACACATGTTAAAATGTAAATTGATTTTGGTAAAAATAATTTCTTCAAATAATTGTAATTTTTGTTAGTTGCACACATATCACATGTGTTTAAATCATTATCCGAAGATTAAAAAGTTAAAAAAAAAAGAGGAGATATATGATTATACGGTAATATTTCAAGATCAATTCAGTCATTTTGCGAGTAATTTTCTTCCTCTACACTGACTCTTTTCTACTAACGATTGAAGCTTTAAAGATTAGAAGTTTTTCTGCATCGTAAATCTCATTCTTCCTCTACTCATTTTATTTTTACTTACTTTAAACGGATCATTTGTCAATCCTAATACAGTAATGCTAACCTAGGAGGCCAAAACGTCAGTTTTCCAAAGATAAGGGGTTTATTAGCAGCTTCAAAGAATTATATGGGACTTCAAATGTTAATATCTACCCTTCCAAGGCCTGACTATGTAAATATGCACTTCAACAATTATCGCTCAATTATCACGAGCCACAAAATTATACAGGACCCATCTTGCCCTATTTGATGAAATGACCCGACCCGGGAGATAGAAGAAGGATTCATATTCAATTCTTCGATCGAGCTTTTCTCTTTCTTTTGCTTTCCCCCCAAAATTTCTCAATGGCGACCGGTCCTGGCTCCGGCCGGGCGACTGAGGCTCGATCCGGCGGGAAAATAGTGACGAATCGCCGGCGGAAGCTCACAACCGCCACCCCCTACGACCGTCCACCTCAGCCTCCACCTCAGGAAAGCCCTAATTGGCTGACTGGCGTAATTTTCCCTGCTACACGCAAGATTGCATCAGGTGCTGCTAAAATTTTGTCCACCGTCTTCGATTCGTCGTCTTCTTCGTCATCCTCTTCTTCCGACAGCGAGGCTGCTAGCGGTACCTTTTCCTTTTGAGCATTTCTGTTATGTTTCTGATGACTTTTGATGTGGATTCCTTTGGTTTTATTGCATATTGAACTGTTCCATGTAAATTGAGGAAATTTATGTGGGTTAAGATATTTTGAGGGACGTGGTGAGAATTTGGAACAAGCTTGTGTAAAGGAAATGAGCAAAATTTGAGAAATTTATGAGTGACTCTTGTGTTGCGAAGCATATGTGAGTTTTGCCCTAACTTGGGATTTCAAACTAATATGGACTGTTTTTTCATAGCCAAATGTACTGAAAGTTTCTTACTTTATGAAAAACAAAGTTAAAAGTTTCTTCCTTTTTGAAGAGATAACATTAGAAACCAAGTGCAGTTTTGTATCATGCTGCTACAGGCAATAGAAAAGTCAACAGCGTCAAGCAGGTATTGTTCATATGGGTAAAAAGTATGCAGGTCAATCAACCAGCTGTTGACAATATTTGCATTTGGAAACTTTGCAAATTGATATTTGCAGTGCAAAGGTTTATTGAAATTCCAGGATCTGCACGTGGATGTTCCTATACTGTTCATGTATTCTTGTAAAAATTGTGTCTTTTTTCTTTTTATCTTTTATTCTAGTTGGTTTTTCTTCAGAAAAAAACACAAGAAAAAGGTGAAGACAATGTGAATTCTGCATCTCATTTTGCATGACCTGGAGCCCCTTTGAAAATATTGTTGTCTACTCTTAAGTGGAGTAGATATTCTATCTATTCATGTATAAGTTACTTATTCGTCTATTTACCAATAGAATAAAATATAGGAAACCAAACAAGTAAGTTCGTATATTTTTCTTTTCGTAAGTAGTGTTTATGTTTTCTTACTGCGCAAACATGGGTATATGTTATAGGTTCTTCAAGTGCTTAGAAGTGTTCTTGATATTACTTGTGTTAAGTGCAAGGCCTATATGTCCTTTACATATCTCATGTAGACACATCTCTGTCCCCATTATTTTCCTATTGAAGCAAATGCTTTTTGGGTGGTTATTTTTCTGTGAAATAGGCAATTTGTTTGTCATTGATGTGAATATTGTTGGAGATATCCTTGTTCATTTTATATCCATTGTGCAAAAGGATGGTACCATGCTGCTCTGTTAAAAAGCTGTTGCATCTTTGTAAAATACCTAATATCTTCATACGACTCATGGTTTCTGGCATAACTTCTATTATTTGCTAGTAGATTAATCCTACAGGATTTTGTTGGCAGCGGCTTTCCTGTTTGAGATAAAAAAAGGATGTTTATTCTGTTTGATCTTACTAAAATAGTGTATTTCATTCAATAAATGCTGTTGACTTTTCTTTTATCAACTTCACCTCTGAAATTTAGACATGCCAAAATTTTGCAAGTTTGTCTTTCACATGCCACAAATGCCTTCACATCTTTCAACTATTTATCCATCAGGAGCTCCAATTTTTTCTGGCTGACACTTGATATCGCTAATAGATCATTTGTTTTTGCAGATGATGATGCTAATCAATCAAACAAGGTAACTTCTTATTCCTTCAACTTCACTTAGACATAGCACTAAAAATACTCCTCCATCCTGCAAGCATGTACTAAAAAATCTTTGAATCTGCTCTGCAATCATTTTCATTTCGTTTGATCATGAACTAATCTGGTGCTTTTCGCATAATCTTCATTTTTGGGTAAAAACATTTTGCTAAGCATTAGTTCATATGTTTAATACGTTTGTTTTACCACAGAGAAGTACAAAACAAGCAGTGTACTTTCATTTTATTGTTGCAACATATCACTCAGCGCAGGGCCACCTGGGTGAGGTCAGGTCAGGTGATGGTCAACAAATTAAAATAGTCATGGAATAGTTGAAGATTTGAGTTAAACTAGAGAGAAGAATGATTTTTTTTCCAACTTGGTGGTACTAAGTGCATAAGCATTTACTAGTGGGGTCCTAAGCTGAGCCTTGGCTAAACTAACCTAATTCAGCTCTACATAACATGGCCAAAACTGGGCTGCTTTTTTTTCATGATTAGTTGATTGAATACAAGGGCAACTGTAAAGTTTTCTGGACGTGTTAATTAATTTTTATGTTTTATTTATTACTGACTTTAGCTGTAATTAGTCCTCATATTCGGAAACCATTTCCCAATATTTAAAAAATGTAGAACTTTTGATGGATATAATCTAGCGTGTAGCTTTTTTTCCCCCCCTTTTCTTCTTTTTTTGCGTAGTATCTTTGGTGTGACTTCATTTGAACTAATCCTGAGTTTCTTAGATTCAGAGAAACATGATGAAAGAATGAAAAATGAAAAACAAAATATGGAGGCTGATCTTTTGGCCCAATTTAGAACTTAGAGCAAATTTTAATAAAAACTAGCAAAAGATTGCAACTGAACATTTGTACAATGGAGCCAGTGTATAGAATGTAAATCCTGGTTTCTAAGTACTACAATGTACTACCCAAAAATGGAATGAAGAATTGTTCTTGGCTTTGGTAGAATCCCGGAAAAGAGAATAGTTCCTCCTCGATGTTTAAAACATAACAAGCATTTTGCCATGTTGACTTTCGGTCAAAGATTCTATAGATTAACACCCTTATAAATTTTTATCAAAATTACTAGGCTGCCCTCCAATACAGACTGAATGACAGTCAGGCCTTGTAATCAAAGATAGTTTCACTGTAACCCCTATCATTACAATTTACACTTAAACCATCTTATCTTGAGTTATTATTTATTCGTGGACAAAATCCTGCTTATGACACACTTTATGATAGATCTTGCGCAGATAATTTTGCCTTTTCTTTGTCTTAATATTTCCTTTTTTTTTCTTTTTCTTTTTTCCCAACTAGATTACTAAATAAACTGTATACTAAATTACTTTTTGCTATAAAGTTTATGCAATTGAAATAATTTAGCAAATGAACTGAATAGGATGTAATCTAATGGACAAATGGTATGTGACTGTGTTTGTGCTAGGTGTTGATTTGGTTTAGGTGGAGTTGGATTTGAAATTGCCAAATGCGCCTAATCTGTTTAAATAACATTGAGAGAATCGGATTTGACATCCACCAACAAGTGGGAGATTGCAGGACTTAAAATCTGTGAATTCCAAATCCCTAAATGAGGCATTATTTGACACCCTAGTCTTGTTTTCTCTACCTCACATTTTTTGGTCTCTTGACCCTCTATCTGACCCCTCGAGGTTCCTTCACGCTCTCTATCTTTCCCCTCTTGGTCCACTCCTGTCTTTGCTCTTTCCCATTTTTCTCTCTGCTTCATCTTGCCTCGAAGGTTTCATCTTTTATGTACAAAAGCTGCTCATTAATTGACTCTTTTTTGAATTCTTTGCTCAGTATGTGATCTTGTGAGGTAGTATTTGATTCCTACTTTTGATTTCTGGAATCAGATAGTACCTACTTTTGGTAAACTTTAATATTGCTGTGGCGTGTGCTTCTCTTGTGTATCTTAGCACTGAGTGGAAGAGGTCCCTGGTAGTAATTAGGGTTGCTGCGGTTATATCCAATACGACTTTGTTTATGAGCGTAGGAAATAGGTACATGGACACTCTTCTTTGTGATTTTGTTTGGGAGTTTTGCAAACAAAGCTTTCTGTTCTTTGTGATTTTGGGGCTTGTCTTGAGGGCAATATCTATGGTTATGATATGCACAACTCTGCATATATGCCTCAGCCATTCTGCTGCTTCTGGAAAAATGAATATGCTGTAAAGGGCTATTTTGGATATTCTAGATAGTCGATTTAAAATCATTGAATAATTTCATTTATCTTCCAAAGCCAAACAATACAACTTATGCTAGAGATTTTAAATCTGTTCATTTCAAAATCATTTGGCTGAAATTGTTCCATAAATCCAAATCCACACATCTAAAGGGACCCTGTATGAATTTGACCGGGCTATGTATAAGATTCTTATCAATTATATTTGGGGGCAAAGCACAAGTACCTCTTATAATCTGAAGGGTTCATTGTTGATCATATGCATCTGTTTTAAAAACAGAGATCTCAATTTATTTGAAAGAAGAAAACATGCAAACGACTGCAATAGTTAATGAAGAGCATGCTTGATGTGGATTATTCATCTTGAGAGCATGAACATGCAGTTTTTGTTACCAAATGGACTTGCACTATTGTTTGTGGATTTTTGTGATTGCTTTTATTTAAATTATGTTTTCATATGATATATGTGCATAGCAGTGCATGATCCAACTTGAAATATAAGGTAAGATGATGTTTGCATGCCCATTACACCATTGATTTTGGTCACTTTTCAAAAGGAAATACTTCGATCTGTTGTGCTTACGAGCAGTTTTCCCTGGCTTTTGATGTACTTAATAATTATTTTTCACAATCACTGGAGTGCGCTTCTACTGTTTCTTTCATTTTGTTAGGCATTTGCCAATACTGTTGAAGTATATGACATCACAATGAAATGTCTTTTATTCATTTATTTTTTTATTTCAGGATCGTGAGATTTTATCAGAAGCACTTGAATGTGTTGATAAGGAGCCTCAACTAAGTTTGTATAGCAGTGTGACAAAGATTGCAATTGAGCGACTGCTCACGCAGGAGAGTTTTTCTAGGTAATCAGAAAAATGGCAATGATTTGTTGATAGAAGATTATGTTTTGATGCTCAAATTTGCTTGGCTGCTGATATACAGAAGGCATACAATGCTTTGTTTTTTGCTGGTGCTTTTGACATCTACTAAGCTGTTTGCCTTTCCTTTTTTGTGGCCTCAAGTCTTTGTATTTCAGAAATTGTTTGTTGAGAACATCTTTGATAGTTCTACTAATGAAAATTATGTACAGAAAGTTTGTACCTTACTTTGCCTAGTAGTTAGGTTAACCTGCATCACAGCTCAGATTAAAATGATCCTTTGGTCTATTGTACAAAGTATTACTTTGATAAGTAAAAGATCGGATGCAGTGAACAAAGTTTAGTGCTTCAGATGTCTTCTTTTTTGTTTTAAGAGTGAACATTATTGATATTCACATTGTACCTGGGCAGTAACTAGGAAATGATAGGAAATGATCTAATCACCTGTTTTCCACTGTACTTCATGATTGTCTCGTTGTCTAACCTGCAATTTCTTATTGGCTTATGATTTTACCAGGGAAGAGCGTGATAGACTTGTACAAATTATTGACTCTCGTGTCATGATGGGAGGGGAAGAGAATATTCTACCTACTGGTGTGCCTGTTGGAACAGTTGGCAACGGTATTATTTTATCTAACTTCTGTGCTAAAACATCTACGATCGCCAACTATAACTTAAATTATGTTTTCTTGTGCAGATACTGCTGATCTATGCACTAAAGCTGTTGCAGAAGCGAGGAAATGGCTGGAGGAGAAGAGAGTGGAATCAAGTCCGCTGTCAGACTTGGCTCACGAGTCTCATGGTTTAAGCCATATCAAACTTCAACGTGTTAGTAATCTTCTTTTTTTTTATTCAAATCAATTTTTGGTGAAATTCGTGGTTTTGTGTTAGTCACTTTGTATTATGTTAGTGGTCCTTGCGTTTTCTGCTTATACTTGACCTGCTTCATAGTTTTAAATGTTTTCCCCCATTTCAGTTCATTTAATATCAGCTGTCTGATCCTGTTTTAATTCTGGAATGTTTTACATATGATCTTGTGTTCCCATTACGCATTCATACCCTTTCTCCTCCTCCTCCCTGCAATGTTAAAATTTGCAAATAAGGAGCTGCTTTTCAACTTTTTGGGAGCATAAGGATTTAATTTGCAAATATATGGTCCAAAGTGCAACATTTTGGATCTTTATAAGCATATTATGCTTTTGAATGGTTCTTTTCATTTAAATGGATTTGCATTATTTTGAGTAATTCCCATTAGGGAACATCATTCAGTACTTGGTTTTCTTTAGGGCAAAGTTTATTTCCGGTCTTTGCATTCGGGAGCAATTTATGATGCATACTGAATTTTGGTTCATCAGTAGATTATTGTTGTCAACATTCTGAATGTCTAGCAGACGGTTAACAGACTTAGGTTTGGGATGGGAGGTGCAGAGTAAACAAAGTAGATTTGAGGTGTATAGAGGTACACCTAATTGAGTTGGCAGACATGAATGGTAGGTTAGGCAATAAATGGCTTCGCCACTTTTGTTGGATAAATCCCTCTATGCGGTTGCAACATGTGATTAACTTTCCAGTATGAAGAGAAAAATGGGATTGGCTTCTTTCGTCAGGATTTACCTAATTGATTCATGTTAATTCTATGGAGTGGAAGCTCTTGATGATTAAATGTGATTGGCTTATCTTGTTGCTTTCTTTTCAGGGAACAATGTTGGAAAATAAAATAGAGTTTTTATTGCTAAAAGAAACATGAATCTTGAGATGATATAGCAATGCTATGCAACTCAGAAGCATGAAACTTTTTAAATCAGCACCATTTTCATGTGGGACATATCTTGTATACAGATTTGCGTCCAGAATATCTTGGAATGTCTTCATATCTAGTTTGGACATCTATTCTTGGACATTTGTAGTGTGCTTACAAAACTGTCATGTAATTAAGAGTGAATAGTAGCAGTTTCTCTGTCATAATTAATAATGGGGGTAATGAACTGCTTGGAGAATTAGGTGGACACCAACACTATTGTATTTTCCAAAGTAAAAAGTAATGAACTAGGGGCTGCAACTTTAATTTCATGCTTAATTTTTGGGATTTTTTTTTCCTCGGTGTTAAACATGCGCTACTAAACCTGCTTTTTGTTGAAGTCATATAATTGACAAAATTATGATGTTCTAGACTCTTTGTTTAATGCAGAGTGAAAATGAAGCGGGCTCTCCTATTGATGTGGCCAAATCGTACATGAAGTCTCGTCCTCCATGGGCCTCTCCGCTTGCAGAACATATTGAACTGCGAACAGCATCAGCAATCCCATCAGAAATGACAAGAGAGCTTTTCAGGGAAAAAACACCAGCTTCATGTGGTGGCGGCTCTTTGTCTTCATCCAAGGTAAATAGCTATAATTTGGTTTGTCATATACGAATTCTTAATATTTTTTCATCCTTTCAGTATGTATTTTACTTTGAAAGGTGTGGCTGAGGTTTTTTTTTTTTTTTTTTTTTTGTAGTTATCCAAGCTTATTTCTTTTAGTGCAATCTTGATCCATGATCCAGTTGTGTTCTTTTTTAAAGTTAAAATAGTTAAATGCAGTTGGGATATTCTGCTTTATGCAAAATAAGCTTAAAAAAAGACATATTTGGTGTTTGTGGTGATAGCTTGTTTCTTGTTTATTGTGTTTCTTTTGGAAGTTAATTCCATTTGCTGGGAGTTTGATTATGGTTCTGTTTTATCCAGATGAGCTTAGAAACAGACATATAAATGGAAGGAGTTTGACACTAGAAAAAGTTATCTCTAGTTACATATTTGAAAAGTTTTTTTGTTACTTTCCATTATTTACATGCTTTTAGGTTTTGTTGCATGCCTTTTGCTTTGTAGTTTCTTCACTTTGCTGCTCTACTTGTCAATATACTCAGATGTGTGGTCTTGGAAAGATTTGCATTGTAAGTATTCTTAAATGATACCAATCAACTGATATACTGTCTCCATGTGTGAAAAATGAAAAAAAAAACCCTTGCTTATTTTTCACCTTATTGCATTTCTCTTTTTTCATTTTGGGACAAAACGATGAATTGCTGATAATATAAACAAAATAATATCCTCTTAATGTTGTTTCTCTTGTATCTCTTCTTCTGTTCCAACATACTGCCAGAAAAGGAATTTTGCATCTTGTTCATGGAATATTGAGGAGGAAATACGAAGAGTACGATCAAAGGCTTCAGAGGATATGCTAAATTCCCTCTCTTCCTCAAAAATTGATCTGTCACCACTTGCAACTACACTTAAACCCCGCCAGGACTCTTTAATAGCTGATATACCAAATAGCAGAGGAGATTTGGGAAACAAATCGAACATTGTGACTGGTACTCCATCTGCTGATGCATCAGTACATTTGGCTGCAGGGTTGAACACTTCTATTGGAATTTCAGGTTTGTGATTACCTGCATGGTTGACCAACTATTAGTTGAGTAGTCAAAGGATATTATCAAGTATTTCCATGATCAAAATTGTTAACATCAAAAATGAAAAAGCATGCTTGTGCGTTTTTGCAGCTTTGGAGACAAGACAAGATGACTTAGCAAATGAAAGTTTGACGCCCCATCCGGCTGCTATTGTTTCAGAAGAATACCAGGTACTTGTAATGACAAGATCTGATACTTTTTGTATATTTTGTGCATGGGGGATGTTAATGCTCGGTCAGGTATACAGCTGTACATGCAGTTTAATATTAGAGCTTTTTCACTGTTTATCTTATTGTGAAATTGAAAAGATTGGGTTGAGCAATGATTTTGGGTTTCCATTCTGTGATTGCCTATCTACAAAGGACTTGGAAGCTTTCAAGATTACTGATGAATGTCCTGGTTCAAAGTCCAATCACGTTACTCTGGATCTTGCCACAGAGCACCTTGATGGTATGGTACCCTCTTCTCTTTGTAATGCTTGTCTTTCTTTGTGATGGAAGTTGTAGTAATATTCTCATTTTGGATATGATCTTAATTTTCTATGTGAAGTACATGATAACATCATCTCAACCTGATTTTTGTCTGACAATCCCAAAAGTCACTTATCATTCGAGTTTCTTGAGATCCAGATAGACTGGTGTAAACTGAACATAGCATTAATTTGTTACATGATGGTAGCTTGGAAATCATCCAGACGAACTGTCATCTGAATTTGCTAATTTATCATATGTGCTTTTATCTGGAAAATTCTCTCCAAAACAAATTGAGTGAGAAGAAATATCTACAGACTTTGGTATCGTTAGGGGAATTCCTCTTACTTCCAAGTCTTTTACCTCCTACAGCTGGCAAAGCGTGTATCTAGTCCCCCAAAGTTTATGGTGGTTTAGTGCTCCATTCTTTGCTTGCCTACTGGGTAATTTGGTCCCTTAGTTTCTAGCACAGATTTACGAGGGAAACAATTTTTTTTCGATTAGCTTCAGGCATTTTGTCATAAAAAGAAAGGAACAAAAAATGCCTCTGAATATTTCATATTTGTTTCCCTGAGGTAATAAATATTTGAATTGATAAAGTTTTTTGCACTTGTACCTTTTGTGTTAATAAGCAAGATCTGCTTTGGCATCTTTTTTCAAATTATTGACTTTACCTCCATGAGGTTATGGACAAGTATCACGTGCTCTCATATTTTAAACTATGCGTTCATCACACTATTCCAGTTTAAATGGTTACGATATTGAAACGACTGTTTAAATTGAACATGACCTACCGTTGGGTGGTTAGGCTGACTAACGGAGTTAGTTTTGCACTCGATTGGTTCATTGACACCTAGATATCTCTTCTCTGCCACCAACCCACGCAGTGTCAAATACCATGACTTGAACGAACAGCAAAATATTTTCATGACCTAATACCTATTAAAGATATTTTATGGTAGAATTTATATTTGCCACTTGGTAGAGTTCTATTAACTATTGTTGAATAAATTTTACTAGCATTTCTCATATCTGTAATATTCCAATGAATAAAAAGAAACTGTTCTGTCCAGCGCCATCAAACCACTTTCCTTTTTATTGTTGTGATTTTTTTTCAACATTTAAATCATTTGATTTTTTCTGCATCTGATTTTGGTAATGCAAATTCTTTTTACTCCCAAGTTTTTGTCCCCTTAAAGTTTGCAGGGAGTATAATAGCCCAGCCTAAGTAGCTTGTGATTCAAAGGTCCATTGCATTGGTTGTCCACTTGGTAATGTGGCGCATTGGTTTCTGGCACAGGTTTATAAGGCACTTGTGAGTGAATCAATTTTTAGATTAGCTTGAGGCAGTTTTAAGGGTCGCTTCCATAGTTTAGACTCTGCATTTGTTAAATCCTTCTGTTCAAAGTGATTCCCATATTCAAACTATTGTTTAAGTTGAAGACGAGCTACCTTTGGGTGGTTAGGTTGACTAATGGAGTTCTTAGTGCACTTGATTGGTTCATGGACTAAAGTGGGAGAGATGGGTTTGGGTAAGGAGTCTTGATATGGAGCATTCCCATATTTTTAGTCCCTCTTAAGTCAATTATTCTATGTTTTGTTGTCTACAATAATCACATTATTTGTGGAATTTATTCAATTCTATGGTCAGAGGAAGGTGATTGACCAAAAGACCCCTAGATTTGATCAACGCAAGACAATTTTATTTCAAATAAAATCAACCATCATGGGAAGATTTTGTAGAGGGAGGAGGATATGATAACATAAAACAAAAGGATACAGATTTGTTTGAATTGAATAAAAGTGAGCGGAGTAGAGAGCTTAAATATAGCAAAAAAATCTGAGAAAATATGCAAATCAGCGAAGAATATATTACAGCAACCAATGGAAAGAAAAAAAGATTTATCATAATAGAAAATAAGTGGTTTTATGACTTGTTGAGTTATTAGGGAATTATTACTCTTCTACTACATGATCTATAATCATAGATGTAGTTTCCCTGAAGTGGAAAGATGAAATTAAATATCAAAGTGGTCCCTCCTCCTTCCCAAACATAGGCGGAGACTTGACTACTAATCTGGTCGAGCATCATTCATGAAGTCAATGCACATCGGAAATAAATGTGTGATACATGATGTCCAGCCCTTGGCTTGCCAAGTCAGTGATTTCTACATGCTGATTTGAGTGGGGCACTGGAATTGTCCTATATTAAGTATCTTAAGCTTCATCTTCCGGTGACAGCTGCTGTAAACCGACTGTTCAATTAAAAAAGTAAGCCTTATATTTATGTCATGTATTGTTGTTGTAAGAGTGATTTCTCATTAACCAGAAATCTGTTTCAATTGCAGTTTCTGTTTATCGTTTACTGACATTAGCATAGAGTTATTAATCATTGAGTTGAATATGCATTTATCATTTGGCAATGTGTGGAATGAAGGAAAACTCGTTACTTTTTAGGAAACCATTTGGTCATTTTGGCTTAAGAATCTCTGGAGCTGGAGATCCATTAAAAGTATTACCTCCATAATGGCACTTTACATCTTTCAAATAGATGTTTTTGCTCCAATATGTTTGTTAAAGAGTAAGCAAACATCACCATTAAAACTATTTTTTAATACTTTGAGTGCTACTCGGTTCCTATGAAACTTTCTGAAAACCAACAAATCTTATTCTAAAAGGTGGTTACATCTGCGTGCCCTGTTGTTTGGCCATACTAAGGTTATACCTATTGAGGTTGGAAAACTATGGTCAGACTCCTTCCGCTGCTATTTTCCAATTAAAGGAAATAAAAATAAAAGCCCAATCACTGTCTTCCTGGCATGCTTTTTTCCTGCCTCCCATATGTATTTCAAATTCATCCGCCCTAGATCTCTCTGCCAGCCAACTCACCCAGGGCCAAATACAATGGCTTGAACCTCATTTCTTTTTTTTCCCCTACTGAATCCTAGTAAAGAAATATTGGGGTAGAACTTGTATTGGCCACCCTGTAAGTTATAGTGCCGGCAGTTGAATGAATTTTAATAGCAGATCTCGTATTTTTAAGCATTCTAATGAGTATTAAGGTAATGTTTCCAGAGCCATGTACTGTTTCTCTTCCACCCCCTTCCCCTTCCCTCTACTAATTGTTTGCTCCCTTATCCCAATTCTATTGATTTATACCACATCTTTACCTGTTGGGAAACACTGGGTGAAAGAAGAGTGGTGATGGGACTTCAGAGGCCTCCTAGGTGACAGCTGGCCTGGGGAGGGAGGTTCAGGGAGGTTGAAGGGTAATTGAAAGAGGGTCAAGACTTGAGATCATCATTGACTAGGGCTAACATGGGTTGGTGGCCGTTGGGAAGCTGTGTGTGACAGTTGGGTTATTGGGGTGGGGGGAAAAGGTTATGTGTTTTAGAGGAAAGGAGGTGGCAGCCCTGGTGGGTTAAAGCGTAAGTTGAGATTTTGTATCTAGTCTTAATTTTCCTGTATTCATGAAATATTTGACTTTGACACTATCTAGGTTATAAGGAGAGGGTCTGTGTGTACTCGTCTGTCGCAAGGTGCTGAGGTGCAGGTAAGTGCTTTAGGGTCCAAAAGCTAGTACAAGTGAATCTGTTGGAGTTATTGTAGCATGATAATATAAATGAGTTTATTCTCAATTTAAAAAATGAGTGGATATCATATAATTTACTATCTTGTGGGCATCACAAGTATATTGAAAATTTTATGGTGCATTTACAGAATTTAATCAAAAATTGACGAGGCAGTTGCAAAATGAATTCTTTGTACAAACCAAAATTCCTATGGACAGCATCTCATATAAGAGGGTGAGAATCTCACCTTCACATTTTTATTTCACAATGTTCAGTGGATGTTACTTTTAAGGGGGTCTAACTGTAGAATTTTGAACCTCAAGGGGAGGTAATAGCCACATCAAGGGGTCCAACTGTAATTCTTTTGAACCTCAAGGGGTTGTAGTATGTATGGCCACAATAGAAGGTGTGCAAATTTATTGATGCCTATTCTTGATCAATAAATTTGAAGTAGTTCTTAGTGAACAAACATTTTAATGATCAATGTAGCAACTAAAAGCCTATTTTGTAAATCAAGGTAAGAGGCACGATTTTGTAAATCAAGGTAAGAGGTAAAAGTCTATTTTGTAAATCAAGGTAAGAGAGTAGTTTATGTCAGTTGTAAAAGTTACAGCAGCAATTGTCTTTCAATATTTGAAGAAAACTTGCTTGTATTCTTTTTCTCGATTTTGCTTTTGGCTGAATACTGGAGCTTTGGATGAATCTTCCTCTGAAATTCTGCGTTTACATTACATCATGCACAGAGCCAAGATCAAGTCAGACAAAAGTTTCTCCAGCAGGAGGAGTGAGAGAATTTGATGAAATAGGAAATGACAATGGTCTTCATACTTCGCAAGAAAGGTAAAATATTGTTTTCCATTTGCTTGCCATATGTTGATCATTAAAAGTTCCACCTAATCGATCTTCCTCTTTTGAAGGGGTTTGTCTTTAGAAGTGGGAACCAGAGAAGTTGATGGGCAAGCTCCTGATGGAAACTCCAAAGCAGATGGAAATGATTTGGGTACTACTAGTAGCATTCCCCTTGAAGATGCGCGTGAACTTATAAGTGAAGCCTCCATTGAAGTCCCAATTGTGGATGAAACGAATGGTTTTGGGAATGTATCACAAACAAGTCCCGTTGTGCATAATGAGTTGTCGCAAGAGCCAACTCAACCTTACATAGATAAGGTAGCCCAGAAGGCTGATGGCAAGGCGGTCAAACACGAAGCTAAGAAACCAGGTAAATACAACCGGAGAGGCCGGGGAAGGGGTAAATAGTGTTTCTCTTCAGGCATTGCTGCTTGAGTTGTACACTAGCCTAAATTTAGGTATTCCACTTAGGTCTGTTGTAGAATCAAGGGTGCTAATGTTAGGCAGAAAGAAGTGTACTATTTAGTGTTTAAGCAATTGCAGGTTCAGTGTTGTATTAGTCATATTTATTTTGATTTAAATATGGGAAAATTTATTTTGATTTAAATATGGGAAAAACTTTTGCTCTTTTTTTTTTTTTTTTTTTTTTTTTAAATGTGTTTCATGAACTGTGCTGCCTCACCACCTTTGTAGGAATATAGATGGCATGCAAATTTCTACTTTTTGGAGGAGTATAGAGGAGAAATATAAAGCTAAGACATGGGGTATTATGTTTGCATTTAAGAGCATAACATTCCTATTTTTTTGAACTTTAGTAAAGCTATCTCGTAACTTGTTTTCCCTTGAAAGGGTCTTAACATGTTTGAACATCTCAGTGCGCTAATCAATGAGTTGCCACCGTGTTTCACTTGCATTGGTGAAGCCTTATGAAGCCTTTCTTTTTGTGTGCCAAAACTTGGTTAGACCGGTCTTCATAGACTCAATGGTTTAGATTGTGTCACGTCATTTGATGAGAAGCTGTGGCATGATTTGGATCATTGAATCTTTGAAGATCGGGTCTACTCAAGTGTGAGCGAGCGTTAGTAAAATTCTTTTGCACACACTGGGGAAAACTGTTTAGAAGGCCCCGACCGGGCTTCTAATCAGATGAATTATCTATTTATCCATGAAGTTATCATTTTTGGATTGATAATAGTTGCACGTTTAAACAAATACTCTAGAATATAGAACTTTTTGCAGTATTGATAAAAAAAATGAGGCGACATTACTAGTCGTGACATTTGGATCGGTGAGATAAAATGATTATATATTTGTATCTGTTAGCTTGAAGAATTTATATTTGGATGCAAAAACTTTATATCATGGTTATGTTTCTGATTGACAAGATTTTGGCTCGAGAATAAGGAACAATGGACGCTGGAAATTGGAAATCACTTCACATTACTTTATATATTTTCCTTTAGGAAATATGCACTTCTAATCCTCAAAATTTGGAGGTTGGATCAAACTGGTCGTTAATATTTTGGCCAAAATATATGTGGTTCTCAAAGTATTTAATTTCGAACAAAATGGTACCTAATGTTTCAATCCAGACAAATATAGAGTGTATTAATTGATCAAATAAATCCCTCGTGTTTTTATAAAATCTTAAGAAAATGAGCTCATCACCAGCTTGTCTAAAGAAGAAAAGATCACTCCTAAATGCAGCTGTGATCTTATTATATGATAACACCACAGGTACCTTGGCACTTCCTTTTGCCAATCAAGAATGGTAGAGGGAAGAGAGCCAAAAAAAAGAGATGAGCGCTCCATGCCAGAATTATTGAAAAGGCCTCGATCCTCGATCTATAGAATAAAGGCGTTAGGACTTCACTAATAAGACAAAATTTGTCGAGGCAAAACCTACTCGTAACAAGTTGTTGAGTTTGACTTTCAGGGCTACTTACTTGAAGGCTTATATGATTAAAAAAACACAAAATGCCACCAAAAAAAATAAATTAAAAGAAAAATAAAATAATGAAAATTTACAAAAATATATAAAATAATTGTAAGATAATCTTTTTTAGCCAAATCAAAATAATTGGTAGATTTACCAATTATATAATTTGTAGATCAAAGTATACGAAAATGCATGTACAAATTTAGGTTCAATGCACAAAATATATTCTTTATCCTGATACTAAATTGGGTGTTTTTAGAGTACCTTATTTTTTAAGAGTATAAGGTATGCTATAGAGATTACATAAAATTAATGAAAAAGTCACAAAATTTTTAAAAATTAAAAAAAATAAGTGTAACGTGTTCTAAAAAAATACTACAATTTAATACCGAAATAAATCACGTGTTGGTACATGTTCTCTATTTGTTAATATGTTTTTCTTTCTCAATAAAGCTAGATTAAGAATTATAATTTGTACGTGCGCCTATGCTTCTATGTATAAATTGTATAATTGGTAAATCTATCATTTATCTTAAATTGATCAAAAGTGATTACCTTAAACATTTTTTTTTGTCAAAAGTGATTGCCCTAAACTTAAATTTACTTTACATTTTTTGAAGTTCTTAAATTTTTTTTGTGACTTTTATCTAGATTTTCGATACTTTCTTATAGAGTGTCGTGCGTTTACATATCATATTAATAAAATTTCTTACATTTAAAAAACATTAAGTGCCAATTTGGTTAATTAATGTACTTTAAGGCCAACATTTGTTCAAACTAGAACCTCAGATACCAATTTGGTCAAAATTGAATACTTTAGGGAATACATTTGGGGCATCCCACATCGGAAGTACCAAGAGGAAAGGAAAGGTTTAAAAACTTGGGTCCCTTGAATACTTTATAACTTGGGTTAATTATTTTGGACTAGTGGATTTTGTCCCAGAAATTGCTTGATTCAACCTTGGACCTTGATCATGATAGTTGGTAATGTCTTCTAGAATCTAGACACTTGAGTCTAGTCATAACCTAGTATGGGCCACACCTCACCTCTAGAGTCTAAGCACCTCTAAATCCCATGCAAGTCACTTTTAGAGTCTCAGCATATGAGTCACCTCTGGAGTTTGACCTCATCTAAGTACAAACCACCTTTGGACTGGATTTGAGCCTAAGAGTTATTTGATTTAGCCCTTGAACTCAGGTCCTGACAACATTTATTATGGCTAAACCAAGTATGAACGAACTCTGGAGTCCGAGTACCTCTAAAGCCCATATAAGCCACCTTTTGAGTTCGAGTACAATCAAATACTCCCTCCGTCCCAAAATTTGGGACGTTTTTTGGGAGTAGCATTTTTTATGCACAGTAAAATAATGGACTGCACTTTTCATATTCTTCCAGTTTTACCCCTTGTCTGACATACGGAAATAGCCAGCTAAAAGCAAAAGGTCACAGGAATGGTGAAAGTGTGCATTTGTTGTGGTGGGCCATATGTAATTGTTTATTATTAATTGATGAAATCTTGTCATTATTACTAAGGGTATAAAAGGAAAGTAGTAGTGAAAGTTGTTTGATTTTTGCCATGAGACTCTTATTTTGGGACAACAAAAAAGTGAAAATATGACATTAACAATGGGATGGAGGGAGTAGATAGTTTGAATTCTGATGTCTTTTGTGAGGATCCAAAGTTTTAAAGGTGGAACGAATGAGGTATCCTACGTCAGAAGTGGAAAGAGGAAAGGAAATGTTCAAGAATTTTGGATCCCTCGGCTACTTTGTAACTTGGGTAACCAATTTGGCCCAGCAGATTTGGGCCTAAAAGTTACTGTGGTGAGTTCTTGCACCCGAGTCGTGATAATATTTATTCTGGTTAAAACTTCAAGAACCGTCCAATCCCTAAACTTTTAGGACTAAAAATGCATTTTCTCATTATTCTTCTCTCCACTAAATCTCTTATTATCTTAGCCATGAAAAATAAGGTTCTTCCTTCATTGAATGTGGTTTGGATCTAGGATTTCTTTGTAAAGGCCATCAATTCATCCTTGCTACGAAGATTTAATCAAGTGAAAACAAGGAGAACAAAGTAAAAAGGCCAAGCAGGGTTAAGTCTTTAACAAAAACCTGGGCACTCACATTATTAATTATACGTTTAAGTAAGCTTTGGTAAGATTAACTTCACTTTGCACCCCTGAATTTGTATTATTTTTTCACTTTACATCCTAAATTTTAATTTTAGATACCTTGCACCCTAAATTCTTAATTTTGAACACCTTGTACTCCAAACTTTTAAGCTCACCACATTTAAGTCCAATCAATGATTACATTCGCAAAATTAACAAGATAAAGTGCAATGAAAATTAAAGATTATTGCTAGGGGTGGCAATGGGGCGGGGGACACCTCCCCCAACCCCCGCCCCGTTGCATTTTAATTCCCTTCGCCCCCACCCCATCCCCCGCCCCGCCTCGCTTCCCCCGCGGGGACACTCGTGGGGTCAAAAAATTTTTATTATAATTAAATTTAAGCAAATAATCAAGTACTAAAATATCAACACATCACCAAATTATTATTCATTATAACTTCACAATTGAAATTCATAAAAATAATTAAACAAAGGTTATTTGAATACAATCTAATATGATAAAACAAATATAACTAAAATAATCAAGTTTTCACTTTTGATACAAATACAATCACTAAATTATTATTGTGTTTTTCTTCAGAAAAAAGTGTTATTGTATTAAGTGTAGTTAGGAATTTAACATAAATGTATTAATAAATTTAGTATAAATAATTAATAATTTTATTAATAGACATGTATAATTAGTAGTATAATTAATAATATCATTATATATATAATTATGTACATATATATTTTCAAACGGGTGGCGGAACAGGGGGTGGGATGGGGGAGTATACCCCCGCCCCCGCCCCAATGACCCCCCGCAAGTACCCGCTACCGTTGTCATCCCTAATTATTGCATATCAAAAGTGAATTAGGTACTTTTCTTTTTATGGTTTGGACACACGACCTGGTAAGGGACTTAATATTCTGGATTTTTTTTAAAAAAATATGTATCCCTCTTTTTCATGTTATCATCTATACATGATTTTATTTTTGTAAATCCTTTAATCTAACATGATTTAAAACATTGAATTGCTGGCAGAATTGTGAATTACTGATGTCTACATACATAGACTCCAAAACCTCGTTTCTTTAGGTCCTTTGCATTCCAATGGATTGATTATATGATCCATTCGACCACATTTAGCGACAACAGATAGTGGCTGATTTGTAAAATTAAAGAGAACTCGTGAACAAAGTACAAAATGATTAACCTTCATTCTCAAGGTAGACTAACTAATTTTATTATTATTAAAGCTCCAAAATCGAAAGGAAATTGGAATTTTAGAAGTACAGAGATTTCAAGATAACCACATTGATAAAATCAAGTATTAACGCTTCCTGCTACATTACCATAACCTACAGTTATTTAACACCAAAAACAAGGCTCATACTTTATATATGTGTGCATATATATATATATATATATATATTTAGAGAGAGAGAGAGAGAGAGAGAGACATTAATGAATGCCGCCGCCGTCCAATTTGGTTGCAATAACGCCAACAGTTGCGATCAGAACTTGGAGGTTTGAACTGGCCTGCTTAAGTTC